ACTGACAGCCAAAATAGCTGTGCTGTCGCGTGCTGTATTATGCTCAGCGGTTCAGCCGTGGCTCAATAGTTTCTAGCAGATCGAGCATCACAAGGCTGAAGTATTGTTAGCTTATGAGTTGTGCGTAGGTAGCATAGCCTTCAATGTAAGAAACAGATTGCGGGCGACCAGGCGACTCCTTGTAAAACCATGGTAGCGGGACCTGGCCTGGGTTTTTTTTTCTCTTCTGGTCGCTGACAGGAAAACTTCATTTCCAAAGCATGAGCTTCTAGACTGTGTTGCGGAGTAATGTGCTGGAGTCCCTCATGGGGGTTTGCCAGCAGAGAGCAACTCACCGCAACTCACTTCACATCGCCAGAGACGCGTGCTGCTAGCGCTGCTGCAGTGGCATCAGGATCAAGCGTCCGTAGCTTGCTTTGATATGCAGCCTTCCACAGGGGAGATAACATGGGATTGTTTACTCATGCCCCCATATTCCCCCTCACTGCATCCTGAAGGCAAATTGCACAGTGGTCAGCGTGCGGAAGCATCACATCTCATCGGCAGGGGGCGCCGGAAAGTTGTAGGGGACCGCAAGGCCGTCGCCGCATCGCCGCCAGAAGCGATCAGGGCCCGTTGTCAGGCATGCTGCTGCGTACCCACTAGCCTGCTAGCGTCATTCCCGCCCCGTTGTCGTTGTTGACCCCGTTTCCAGCCTGTGGGAATCTCGTGTGGGCGTGGTCGTGGCCGTAGCCGCACACTGGTTCGTAGTCGCCGCCACTCGCAGCAGAGATACAATACGGGCACAAGTACCTAGTGGACCGGGCGAGGTCTCCTCCCTTTTGCATGTAAGCCGCGGTGCATCCCACGTACAGCATACCTCGAGTGTCTCTCCATCGCCCGCCTCTCTCTCGTGGGCCATTGGCAGCCCGTTGGTCGTTGGTCCCTACTTGACTTGGTGGACCCCCGACTGGTCTCTGGCCACGGACTAAATATAGTGTATAAAACTGAGCTAAGGCTCAAGGTCGAAAGGGCGAAGAACAAGCGCGAGGAAGAAAGAATGGATGAAAGCAAGAAAAATGTGGCAACCATGGGATGATGCGGCATGCAGCTGCAAACTCTGAGATCGGATCGGAGGCCGGGCCTCAGTCAACGTCATGGGAGGCTGTCAAACCTCAACGGCCGGCCTCGAGAATCAGGCATGACCGTGGTGCAGCATTCTGAGCCAAGCAAGTGGCTTCAACAGGCCATTAACTGCGCCGGAGGTAGATTGAGACGAACCCGTAAGACAGGGCACTCTTTTTTGGACGTCCGGATATAAAGTGCGTCGTCCGACAGGGCTTCTCCGTCTGTGATTTGTTCGTGATGGCTGCGGCGCTGCTGCTTGCTGATGCGGCCGAGCTGCGGAGCCCATCGTGAACGGCTTCACTCCCCCTCCCCCCCATCTCTCCCAGGCTCCTCCGTCGGCCAGCACCCGGGACGCCCTGACCAGCCAGACCAAGTCCGGCAGCATCTCCAGACGGCCTCAATCCACACGTTCCGCAGTCGGGCCCCCGTGGACTCTGGAGTGGGAGATGGGTGTCGAAACTTGAGAGATGACCTGTGAAATTTCCTTTCCGGAACAGGGGAGGCCATCCCTTCCGATATGCACGTAGCATTACCTCACCATCTTAGCCAGGCGAAGCCACTGCGGTGGGGTAAGCTCGAACTCAAATACGGGGAAAGCGTTCCCTTTTTCTTCGTATCCCCCGGCCCATCACACGTAACAGGTGAATGACCACTGCACTGCAGCAAAAGAGGGGGGCAGAGCCCAGAGGCGGGCAGAGATATTCATACAGGCCGGACTGGCCAAGAGAGACTGATTGAGGCGAGGCGGGTGTAATTGGCTGGGCAGGATTCGTAAGGCATGTGTTTGTACCGCCGTGGCGGTCTGGCTGTCTTGCCCTCCGCCGAGAGATGCGTTGACGAGCCTGGTTTTGGTGAGCTTAGCTGCGCGATCTGCTGCTGATACGGGAGACCGGCCGAGTTGAGGAATCTGCAGGGTCGAGCTACTGTATTGTATTCGTGCTCCGCGATTGTACGCTACTTGTTGGTGCGCATCACTTAGTTGGTCCCCTAAGCATTGGGGCGACGGCGGTGTGTGGTGTGGTGTGTGGTGTGCCTCAACCCCGAACAGCTGGCTCTGTCCCAGCGCAGGTCTTCGCTGTACTGTCTGTGTACCTTGCGTAAGGGGTCCCGATGTGAGGCTGGAGAGGCGATTCGGGGTCTTAGTGTGAAGATTTTCGTCTTGGGTCTAGACGAGGGCCGTTTGTTGCCGCTCCTCGTGCCTCGTTTCAACGCGAAGGCAGATGGCGATGGATTGCCATTACGTGTATTTGTTGTGTGGAGGAGGCGTTGCGTCTCCTGGATGCAGCTTCTCATCTCTCGTCTTACTGTGCCTGGGCCTGTGCTCTGCGCCCTGCGTGTGCGTGTGATGCCGCGTGATGCTTGTTGGTAGGTAGGTTTGGTAGGCAGGCAGGAAGCTGTCAGTCCTGAAGTTGGGATTGGCGCTGATGAGCTGCGTCGGCCGTGCTTCATAGGGGCTGCTGCGCGTCTGCGGGACATGTTGATGATGTGCCTTTTGCAGTTGCTTCAAGGCCCTGCGTAAGTGTGTGTGAGCACCTGTGCCTGCACTGGTGGTGCTGATCAGCCTGCTGCACTATCCCATCCAGCCATTTGCCTCCAACTGGCCGTTACCAAACGGTGCCGGACCAATCCCATGGGCAGGTTGGCGGTTCCTTGGCGTGTTCAATGTTGTGATGTGTGTTTTGTTTCCCTTTTACCGTCGGCTTACCTCATTCAGGAGAGAGCGTCGAACGCGGGCATGTCTGTCGCCCAGGAGCAAGGGGTAGCGTGGTCGTGATTCGCCGCCTGTCGGCCGTTTGCCCAATGGCAAAATGCCAAAATTCTCCAAGCCGAGAGACAACTCCCCGAGACGAAGGGACGCGTTCGCACCATTCCCTATTGGGGGCTTCCTGAAGGTCCGCCCTGTGTGGTGGAAGGTCTCACACAGGTCTTGTCTTGGTCTTGCTGGGAGGACGAGACGAGCAGCAGAGGAGAGAGGTGGTTGAGCGAGCCCGGTGCAGTTTGAGGCCCGGCGTTGTGTACTGCGTATTCTGAAAACCTAGGCACCTAGGCAGGGGCGTCCTGAAGGCTGATGAAGCTGACGGAAGGTGCCCCCTGGAACCACAGCGGCACACTGAGTAACTGAGCAGATATCCGTAATATCTTCTGACGAACAGCGGACAGAGTGCTGAGTGAAAGGGGCATGGCATGGCCTGGCATGGCATGAATTGCACATCGAAGGCCATGGCAGCAAATGGGGGGGGAAAGTCCTTACCTGCTAAATTGGACCAGTCAGAGGCGGCGGCGCTGGACAGGGCACCCAGGCTGCCGTGGACACGACAGGGTGCCGGGGTAGACGGGACATTTCGCTCCTCGCTGCTCCAGGCCCCAGTCGAGGTAGCGGGTACGAATAGGAACGTCGAACGGGTGCATGGTGTGGGCAGTGGTGCAGTAAGTCTGCCTGTGGAAACTCGGCCGGGGTCCCCTCCCAGGATGCTTTGGTCCAAGTGGAACTCCATCGCCGTCTGGCTCCAGCAAGCCAATGCAGCATCGGTACGATAGTGCCAAAAACCTTCCCATCTGGCAGTCTCCAATCTCGACCAGACCCTTCCTGCCTATCCACCGTCTGTGTCTGTCTCCAGTCTCCGGTCCAGCGTGCTCCTCCTCCTTCCAGGACTCTCGTTCACTCTCACCTCGCACCTCACCATCTTCACACCTGACTTCCTCTCTCTGTATCCCCTCAAAAAAATCCCATCTCGTCTTCCTTCCCTTTTTCCCTCCCCCCTTCCCTTAGTCCCCCTTCTCTACCACAGCCTCCTCAGCCCTTTCCCCCCCAAAGAAAAAAAAATCATTCCCAATTCGTCCCATCAACGACCCCTTTTTTTCGTCCCAAAAAAAAAGTCACGAAATCCGCCCCCCAACGCTGAGGTTGTCTGACTCTCAGGGTCCTGCTTCCTAGGTTGTCCCCATATTCAATTCCCCGGTCCAACGTTGTCCCCTCGATCACACCTCAACTCGTCCTTCGCTCTTACCGTCGTTCTTACTGTGCCTCCTTTCCTTTCCGCGTGTCGCCCGTCCGTCTTTCTCAACCCAACAACAACCCAAAAAAAAACCCACAAACCGAAAACACAACCGACTCCTCTCACGATTGCTTTCTCTTTGTGAACCCGACGGAGCTTCTCGAAAAGCTTCCTTCCCATAGCCGACGACGACAACGATTAGACGATCCCGTGCCCTGACTCGTCATCGCCCATCCCTCTCCGCTCCCGACGACTGCTGCGTTACGATTTCGAACCGGATACGAGTCCCTGACATTCCCATGTTCTTGGTCGATTGCTAGCTACGACTCGAGTTGTCTCCGTGACACTTGATCCCCTTCTCTCTCTGCCCTCGGTCGATACCTCTTCCATTTTGGCTACTGCTTCGTTGACGACGGCGACGACGACGACGACTTCGCGGTAGCAGTGAAGCGTCCACTCTCTTCGGCACGACGACACCATTACTGCCCCTGGCCGCAGGCGACCTTCCATTCCACACCCGAGTTTTGGCCACTCACGCCAACTTCACTTCTCCCACACGGTTATTGGTCACCCGGGATACAGCAGAAATATTTCCCTTGCATTCGAGAAACTAAAAGGTTCGTCCATCGCCTGTCTCGCAAATCATCCCAGACCTTTCCACGGCGAACGAGGCTTGTGTGTGTTCGCAGCCTCGCCATACGAATGGCTTCATCTGGATTTGCTGCCGGAAGCGATACACGTTGGCTAACAACTAATTCTCAGTATTTAGCATTTGAGCTGCAATTTGGTAGTTCACCCGTCTATAACGATCCGTTGCCGTTGCGTCCAACTCTGCTTGGACCTGACCTAGGAGCAAAACGAGGTTGACGTAACAGCACTCGTTCGGCACCTTTGCAGTTGTCGTTTGATTGGAATATGGCTGCGTTGGTTCAAACGTTTCCCCAGCAGACCAGCACTGTCACTCTCCAGACCCGATCATCCGGAAACATGATGCCCGCACAAGCTCAGGCAAATCAGCAGTACATGGCCGCCCAGCAGGCGCAGCGAAATTTCTCGGGGGCGTCAGGCGTTTACCGCGGCAGTAATGCTCCCATCCAACCCTATGCCTTCACCAGCACTCCCAGCCTCAACACGACTGGTCAGTGGCAGCAGTATGGCAACGGTTATCGCACGGCATCTTCTCCCGCTGTTCCGACACAGGGTATGGTTCAAGGACATGATGGCAACCGGTCTCGTCACACTGGAAGCTCTTCCGTTTCATACAGCCATAACATGGGTACGAGCCAGGGCGGATCGAGAGATGATTCAGCTATCCCTGCCGCTCGCACGAATCCCCAGGCACAGAGACCTCAATCTGCGTATCTCGCCGGCAGCACGACACCGCAAATGACGTTCGCTCAGGCCGCCGGTGCTAAGACGACACCTGATAGGTACAGGCGCCCGGCTCTCCAGCAACAGCAGCCTCGCCAGACTAGCGCCCCTTCAGGGTCAGGCATGGCCACCGTTAGTCATTTGTACAATGCACCTGGCTCCAATGACCAGAAGAGCGTGTCAGTGCGAAGCCGGAATGCGTCTTTCCAGAGCAGACCAAGCAGTTATTATGGCGCGGTTGATGACATGCAATTGAATCGACCGACGGACGACACCATGCGACTGAGGCGGCGCAGCATGCATTCGCTAGACTCTGCCGATTATCCCAAGCCGCTAACCCCACAGGAATTCGCTCAGTCGGAAGAATCCTCCCGTCCCGACCGCGTTCCAACTCCCAAAAACAACGAAAAATCGCTTCGCATGGTTTCCAGTCTCGCTCCTCCCACCGACACCAACATGCATGTTCGCAATGGCAGCGCAGAAAGCGTCGCGTCGAGTCGAAGCAGCCATTCGCGGCCGTCCTCGGTAAGTGTCTCGCTCTGCACGCACACCGCATTACCTGTTTTTGTTGATGCGTCTTCTCGCCTCATGCCTCTGATGGATTGCCCAATCACGCATTGGCCCGACCATCCTGAAGTGTTCCATCGCTAACAAGGTTATTTCCACCAGTCTGCCAACCGTAGCGTACCCACCCCCACGGCAAACCCCTCTCTCTCCTCGTCTTCTTCAACCCCAGATGATGCTTCATCGAAACATGACCAGCTCAAGATCGTGAACATCCCGCCACGAAACTCATCGTCAGATGCGGCCAAGCGACAACCCACTCCGTCTCCTCTCTCCAAGCCGGTGACCATGTCCACCGAGTCCAGTCCCCAAAAGCCACCTTCCTCTCTGGGAAATGCTCCGCAGCAGGCTGCATCCAACGCCAACGCCAGCAGCCCCGCCGCGCAGCAGCTCGCAGCAATCAAACAAAATGGCACGAAATCGAAGAGCAAGACATCGCGACTTCGCCGCGCATTCTCTTTTGGTAGCGCCGCTGATTTTAAGAAAGCTGCTGGCCCCGAACCCCCGGTGGAACCCAGCAATGTGAACGCCAGTGATGCATCGAAGTTGCACAAGGACCCGACCGCAGATGAGTTGTACGAGGCTGAGCAGGCGGCCATCGCCAAGAAGCAGGAGGAGGGGGGAATCGGGAGCAACATTTACGGCGGAAGGCTCTTTTCTGGGTCGACCGACAATCTGTCCATTTCGTCCACGGCGTCTTCTGCTTCTATCATGATCCGTAAGATGGGTCGTGGCATGAAGAAGAGCACGCGATCGTTGGTGGGTCTCTTCCGACCGAAGTCAGTTATTGGTGTTCCCGCCGCCGATGCCATGGCTCCGGAAGCTAGCCAGGCCGCTGTCTCAATGATCACTGTCGAGGCCGAAAGGGTCAACGTCAATCCGGACCCCCGTGCACAAAATGGCGGTGGTACAGGGTTTCCTCACCTGGAGCGAAACTCGCTGGACGTCTCCAACACTCCCAGCATGGTTTCCGAGCGTGCTGGAAGTTCTGGCACCGACAGCGCCGGTCGAAAGAGCATCGTGGGTGGCGACAGGGAGCGTGCCGAGGTTCTAGCTGCTGTCAGGAAAGGCATCCTCAAGCACAACGGCCGATCAAACAGCCCAGCACGCGATGGCGCCAAGCCCTTCGAGCTCCCCGCCATTCCCAATGTCTCCGACTCGCCTATTTCCACAGCGCCTAGCACGCCGAATGATGAGGCACAAGGCCACAAGCGTTCAGGGTCGGTCGCCATTGGCAGCGAGGATTATTTCATGACCGCTCTTAGACTCCGCCAAGACAGCAAGAGTGCTCCTGGAACGCCATCCGGAGGTACCAAGAGGAACGCGACATTTTCACCAAGAATCGTCTTTCACGACACATGGCCAAGTGGAGAGTATGATCGCAGAGGCGAGATTGCAACATGCAACCGCCTGACGCCTATGTTGGCTCAGCAGATCAAGGAGGAGCTCAACACATTCAAGATGGTACGTTGGTATTGCAGAAAATGCCCAGACTTGCAAACGCTAACAGCACACAGGAAATGGAAGTTCACGAAAACTCCAAGATTTACACGCACTTCTTCTAACGACGGCTACGCCTGCAAGACGGAATCTTCCAAATTTTGCTTCTTGATGATGGGCACACCCACCCCATCATGTATTTGAACTACATTTACCATTCGGCGGCGTTCAGGAACAGCATCGTACGGTGTCAAGGCGTTCTCAGTCGTCACTCGACAGCATTTTCCATTGCCTGGCTGGAATGGCTGAAGGGCCGTCCTCCATCGATTAATTTTCTGCGGATGGGCTGGGCAACACTCGGAGTTGGCGGCCAGCCAGAACAGCATACACAGGCCAGTCAGTGCATACACGGGCCGAAAAGCCTGTTTGCATTTGGGCAGCGATCACACGGACCATGGGACACGATGGCGATAATGGTGGTAGCCTCCATTTATCTTACACTTTTTATCAGATGGGCCCAAGCCTTCTGGCGGACGAGATGCGGACTCTACGGAGATCCCATCGCACTCGACACTCGGTCGACGTTTTCTGTGTTTGTATTTGCTTTGTCGGCGGTCAAAGGGTTTTCTTTATCTGTCAGGTTCCATTCGCGTTCTGTGGCCTTCCAGTTTCGTGGAGTCAAGAGGAGGCAGATAGAGTGTGTGTGTGTGTGTGGCTTTTTCATCTCGAAAAAACAGCTTTAGTCTCAGCGAGGTCTTGATGCTGGTATCGACCATTCCAGCGAATTGAATACTTTAGAGCGGACTGCCTCCCTACAAAACTTTATCCCGAGTTACATGTGACGACGGCTTTAAGTGCTACGCACCAGGCGAAGTCCTTTGTTCTCCTGACGCGCCCTGACTGGTCTGACACACCGTCTCAGTGCTAGATTCAGACGAGCGGCGCGATGAGACCCAGGCACCTCGTTGTACCCGGTACATGCTACCCCTTGCGGACCAGCGGGACGACGTCATTCGTCGTGCGTCGCGGTCCCCTTGGGTGCGTGGGGGAATCGGCAGAGACCCGCAGCCCCACCAATCAGATAAGCTCAGAGTCCTCAGCCTCGTGCCCACCAACGCAAGGCTCAAAACTTTTTTTTTGGTCCCGCCCATCGCCTTCGCCATCACCCATCAAAGTCGCCCACGGACGATGCAGCACTTGGTCGCATGCCCACTGGACTGAGAATACCGACACTCTGGAGGTTATACTGAGGCTGCGGAGGCTCCGGACGCCTCACATCATCCGGCTCACCCGCTCCTTCTCGACGAAAATGGCGACACACGCGACCGACACAACCACCGCGAGGCCCGAGGCCGCTGCGGAGGTCAAGCCGAAGCTTCACGGTCGGGCCTTCTACGAGAGCATAGGGAGCCCCAAGTACATCCTGGCTCCTATGGTAGACCAATCTGAATTCGTGAGTTCTCCCTAGGCCCCCCATAAACTCGGTTGCCTCGGGCGCATGACTGACAGCTTGGCGCTTATGTATAGGCATGGCGAATGCTGAGTCGATCGTTCCTTACCCCCGAAGAGCAGACCAACCTGGTCGCATACACGCCCATGTTCCACGCCAGGATCTTCAACGACACGGAGCACTACCGCGACGGCCACTTCCAGGCCGTGCGCCCCGCGACCAACGGCGGCACCGAGGCGAAGCCGACGTCGGAGCCGTGGCTCGACGGCAACCCGAAGATCGACCGGCCGCTGTTCGTGCAGTTCTGCGCCAACGACCCGGACGCGCTGCTGGGCGCCGCGCTCAAGGCCGCGCCGTACTGCGACGCGGTGGACCTGAACCTGGGGTGTCCGCAGGGCATCGCGCGCAAGGGCAAATACGGCGCGTTCCTGCAGGAGGACCAGGAGCTCATCTTCAAGCTGATCAACACGCTGCACAAGAACCTGCCGATCCCCGTGACGGCCAAGATCAGGATCCTCGACACCAAGGAGGCGACGCTCGCGTACGCCAAGAACGTGCTCGCGGCGGGGGCGTCGATCGTCACGGTGCACGGCCGCCGGAGGGAGCAGAAGGGACACCTCACGGGGCTGGCGGACTGGGGCATCATCAGGTGGCTGCGCGAGCAGCTGCCAGCCGAGACGGTGCTGTTCGCGAACGGGAACATCCTGCAGCATGCGGACCTGGCGCGCGCGTTGGAGGCGACGGGCGCGGACGGGATCATGAGCGCGGAGGGGAACCTGAGCGACCCGGCCATCTTCGGCAGGGAGCCCGAGCCCGGGAGCGAGGTCGAGAAGAGGGAGTACTGGCGCGGGAAGGACGGCAAGGGCGGGTGGAGGGTGGACGCCGTCATGAGGCGGTACATGGACATCCTGCACAGGTACGCGGCCGGTGTCGAGCCGCCTGCGCGGCGTCCGCTGTTCGTGCCTGGTGACGACACGGCGTGGATGGAGGAGATGGACCAGGCTGCTGCCGAGGAGGACGAACCTGCGCGGAAGAAGAGGAAGAAGGACGCGCCCGGAAAGAAGGCGAGCGGCAAGAAGGAGCGCACGAATAACCCAAACTACGCGGCGATGCAGCCGCACATGTTCCACATGCTGAGGCACTTTGTGTCGAAGCATACCGATGTCAGGGACATGCTCGCGCGTGCCCGCGCGGGCGACATGGAGGCGTACGAGGAGATTCTGAGCAAGGTGGAGAGGAAGGTCGCGGACGGGCTGATCGAGTATGAGAAGAGCGACGGGAAGATGTTTGAGACAGAGAGTGAAGGGGGGGAGGAGGAGATTGTTGAGGATGGGGAGAGCTCCAAGGGGGCTGTGCGGAGGTGTGCGAGGCCGTGGTGGGTTGTGCAGCCCATCATCAGGCCGTTGCCGAAGGAGGCCATGGCCAAGGGCGCTGTATCGTTGAGCAAGAAGGACAAGGCCAAGTTGGCGAAGGAGAATGGCAACGGGGAGGTGAATGGCGAGAAGAGCGTTGAGGAGAAGGTCTTGGAGACAGATGACAAGTTGATCGCGGGTTGACGATGGAGACGAAAAAGTAATGAAAATGATATACCCCCTTCTCACTTTAACGTTATGGACGAGGTGGTTTGATGTGAGATGTGAGTGATGATGCAGGACATACAGTCTTTTGGTGGTGCGAGTATTTAGAAGAAGGCCGCTTAGTGCAGCATTCTGATGAATGATGCCACTCGTAAAAGCCCAGCATTCTTCCGGTTCAACCCTCGAAAGTCGAACCGGGTTTTTCCCCCATTTCTTCCCACCTTTCCCATCTCCCTCTACCCTCATTCAAATCCATCCTATTACACGGGAAGCTCTGCAGAAGTGAAATCCTCCGGGCGCCAGCTCAATTTTCCGTCCACAGACGCGGAGACAGACGAAGTCCAGCCGTCCATCGACGAGAGGAGGCCCCGGCCTTTTAGGACGTTTCTTTGATCTTTTGCTCTGAGGGCTAAAACTATATAAGTTAAGCTAAGATAATCGTCAGCTATACTTTTATTTTGCTCTCCAGCTATGAGGACCTCGGACATTTAGAGGCTATATCGCCTCGTACACTGTGGGTGCTCAAAATCAGAGATCGAAAGCTCAAGCCAAGTCAAATTTACTAAGCTACCCCCAGTTTGAGGCTTTTCAATTGTTAAGACTTGCTCTTCTTTCTGTTCCTGTAAAGTAGCTAGGTTAACTAATTCAATAACCCCCTGGAGTCTAGCGACTACCGTGTCAGAGGTCTCACATGTAAGTGCTTCAGAACATCACGGCCGGATACATGGCGGATCCGCCGAATATCTCACTTGTAATATGTAAGTCTAGAGTCCTGCCGGAGCGTGTTGGCTCTGATTTGGACTAATACCCAAAGATCAAGGCTGGCAGGGGTTGAGGAGCTGTTCGGCGGCTAAACCATGTTGGAAGAGGACAGCTTCCAACCGCACCTGAGGGAGCTGCCAAGAATTTTTTTTTAGTTGTGCCTCATATCATCTCATCTTAAATTCAAGGTGTGTTGTTCTAGTGTCGCATTACAAACTAAACAGGAAGGCGTCAAGATGCGCGTCATAAGGGGGTGGCACGGCTGCCACCGCGAACATCTCAATTGATGACCTCCAAAACCAAACTGCGGCGATCACTACATTACTCAAGCTGCTTCGTTATCACACAACATGAGCGGGATGAATGGGTACAGAGAACCGGCGGAGAAGATCGTGGCTCACGAGTTGGATCACGGGCCGGAGGTCGTTCCAGGACAGTACTGGCCTACACCCGCTCACCACGGCATCGATGCCAGGCAGTACAGCCAACAAGTTTCACCGGGTTCAATTTCCGATGGCCGGAGGATATGTGGGTTGCATCGCTCGACATTCTACCTCGCGCTGGTTTTTGCACTGGTCATCGTCGTGGGATCGGTCGGCGGAGGTGTCGGTGGTTCGCTCGCGGTCAAGAACGCTCAGAGGTGAGAGGGGCAGACGCCCTTATCGCGTTGAGAAATTCGAAAGCTAACTTTAAGCATCCAGGGGAGCCCAGTCTGCACAAGAGTCCCAAGCTACTCCTACTCCGACCCTGACAGAGACCACGATGGCGACAAACTCAGCAACGGGCTCAGCGTCAGGCTCAGCAAAAGCGTCAGCGACAGGCTCACCCACAACCACCACCCGGATATCGATGCCCACGTCCGGACTGCTGGCGCTCGACTGTCCCAGTATTTCGGGGACCACCGCTTCCATAACGGCAGGCGGTCAGTCGTCAAGCTACGACCTCGACTGCGGGGTGGACAACAACGGGGAGGGCATCGACATCGTCGCTGTCGTTTCGTGGTCGCTTGAAGATTGTCTCAGGGCGTGCTCCTCGTTCAACGCGAACCGGAAGAGCGGGTCTGAGAGTTGTGCTGGGGTGCAGTTCCACGCTGACATTTTCGACTTGGTTTCGAGGTTCTCTGGGAACTGCTTTTTGAAGAACACGGAGGGGCGGGCGGTGACGGATACCAACTCTACGAACTTCAATCTGCACGTGTCAGCTATGCTGCTTTCGTGAAAGAGGGGCTCGTTAGAAGTCGTGCGAGCGCGGTGAGGTGGCTCGAATTTAAGTTATTCCAAAATCGACGAGTATTTCATAGAATTATATCGCCAATTTCCTTAGCGTTGGCTGGGTT